TTTTGAGGTTATAGAGATCTTAAAGGTGTATACTGTATAATAGGAACTCTGTTAAAAATTATACATGTTCTTTGAAATCCTCATCAATAAATGATTTTTCTAATTTTATGATTCATATGGTGGTTATTGTAATTTTCTAACTCTATACTCTTTTTTGTACCACTGATTTAACCCTGATTGTGGATTAATAAAGACTTTAATTTCATTTCATTGAATTCAAGCAGGCCATAAGTTATTAGGATAAAACTCAATGAAGAAAAAGTTAATAGAAATTGTTATTATAAAACAGATAATTAAAGACACTTTTGGTTGGTACACCAGAGATTGAAAAGTTACTTCATTTTAATTCATTTTCAATCGAGCTGAACATTGGGGGCAAATGCAGACAAATTAAAAAAGTCTGAACATGAACAATATTACTTTCACAATCTCTTTGGACAAACTTGTGCAATGAACAAGTTGCCTTCAGTTGCATAATTCAAACCTTGAGGAAGCCCTTCTCCTTGAGGCTTTCAACAGTGTCCCTAAGACTTACTTCCAGTGGAAGGAAATTAACTCCCAAACTTTTTGCTTTTTCCTGTGATACTTGATATGTGGGTTCAGAAGGATTGGCCTCCTCATATCTGCCAACAATGAAACAAATAAATCTTTCCTTCCCTTAGAAATTTGTCATATTCGAAAAAGAAAATTGCCAATTTGTTGCATTTTGCAAATTATAACTTACTTTTCAGGTGGGCACAGAGAGGAATGAAGTTCATGTAAAATCTTCAGAACCTTGGCCATGGGTGTAACATGTCCAACTAAACAATATCTTCCATTAGATGAAGGAACCTCAAATGCTTGAACATGAGCTGAGGCAACATCTCTAACATCACTACATGAATAAATTGAACTGTTTACATCTTCAATATCTGCATGCATAGAAAAGAAACAAACTTGCATCACAAGAATCATCTAACATCAAATGACTAACTTTAAATGTTATTTTGTTACCTGAACCAACATTTCGTTAACATTCGATAAACATACCTAATACTCTAAGAAAATGTTTAGACACTCAACAATTATGCTAGCTGCCTCAACTAAGTTAGTTCAGACTCTCCATCATAGTCTGCTCTAACCAAGCAAAGATTGAAAAAGAAAAATCATATATAGTTGCTGAAGTGTACCGTTTTTGAGGTTGAGAATCACCTCCACAGAGAGATTAAGGCTTGGTTGTAAGAGTGGACCAATCACATAGGATGGATTTATGGTAACCAAGTCAATCCCATTTCCTTCAGCAAATTTCCAAGCAGCTTCCTCAGCTAAAGTTTTCGAAAGAACATACCATTGCTGGACACACAGAAGAGAAAGAAGTTCGTACTAAACCAATATATACTTCCTGCCTTGTTTTATGTTAAGCATACCTCAATGCAACGAATCACATGAACAACTGATTTATTATTATTTTTTTTAATGGCAAAAAAAAAAAAACACAACTCAGATCGTTTAATTCAAAGACTTAGACATTTTGAGCTCAAGAAGATGGACAAAAACTTGGAATCTACTTCTGAAGAACAAATGAAGAACAGGGGAGAATAAAAGGAAAGACGAAAGATAGGATAATTATTCATCTCCTACATAATTGGATGCAGATACTTGTAAAGGTGACAAATTCATTCTAGTTACTGTCATGTAAATACAACAAATGAATATGAATTTCATGAATAAAAGGTGTAACTTGGAAGAAGATAATAAGCATGGGAACCTACACACTTACCTTCAAATTCTCACAAACAAAAGGATCTGAAAACCATGTTTCATCAACCACCACATCAGGGGTCAATGGTCTTCCATTGAATATGACTGCAGCCGTAGAAGATGTTAAAACTACCCTCTTGACAGTAGCGAATTTTACGCACGATTTTAGAACATTAAGGGTTCCCTTCACTGCAGGGTCAATTAATTCTGCCTGAGATTGTAGAGACAAAGAACCATTTCAGTTTCTGCATAAAAAAAAGTATGTTGATTCTGCAAAGAGGGAAATGTAATTTGTATCACAAGACACTTCTAGTCCCTGTAATTTTTAAACGGTTTATAATTTGGTCAAGTAGCTCACATTAGGTTGCAATCAATCACAGTTTCGCTTGTTCATGTTTTTCTAAGGGATTGGACTCGAAATTTGGCATTGTTGGAACCTTAAGGTGATCATCGTTAAGAAAAGGTGATCATTGTTATATTTAAAAATGTCCAATGGCTAGTCCAATCCCTTATCAAGAAGACAAAAAATAGTCAATTAGGTTTGAAGTATTTATGAAAGTAAAGGGATGAATGCTAGAACCTGTGGGTCAGTGCATGAAAGCATTACAGGGGATGCTGTATGAAAAACACCCTCACATCCATCAACTACAGCATCAAAAGATCCTTCTTCTAACAAATCTGCTTTGAACAAATGGAGCCTTTCTTTTGCCCCCTCAAGTGCCAATAAGTGTTCTGTTTTCTTCGGGTCATCTGTGGCATATGCATAATTACAGAAGTAATTAGTTCATAAAAAAGGTCTCACCGTACAAGATTAGTCACTAATTGTATTGTTATAGAATACAGTTAGAGAGTTAGTTATATGTTAGGGAGATATAACTCTCATTCAATCTAGTTTGACACAGTTGTTTTCCTCTTTAATATTCACTCTCTCTTCTCCTCTCTCCTCACGGTGTTGGGTCCAAAATCTAGTTTGACATATTTTTAGCACATGATGATAAGGCTGGATCTGAAGAAAAGTGTTATTTCGATATGATTATGGATGAGAACAATAATCGAAATCCAGAAGTTTCTGTTGATGTCATCAAAACCAAGAAGTTGAAAATGAAAATCATCCAAAGAAAAACCGTTTTTCGGGAGAGAGAAAAAGGGAGAAGAGATTTAATAGTAGTGGCATATCTATATATATATATATATATACACTGACTTGGGTCACGGACGGTTGCTTTGACAATATAAGCTCGTTCCAGTAAGAGCT